TGATTCTTCCCAATCACCATAGACGGCGGCCATAGCTTTCTGCTTTCCATGCCACGCCTTCTTATAGTTAATCATATAACCAAAACGACTTGCAATGTCAGCGATTATGACTTTCACCTTCAGATCCGGTTCAGCCTCAATCAGATGCTTGATAGCCGCAGCAACCACCCTGGATTTCAACTGTCGATGGCCTTGGGAAGTTATGGATGACACACATGTGTGTGTGTTGACCGCACGGGATATGACCCAGTGGCCGTGTCTCTTGCTGTTGATGGCCCGAATCCTAACATTGCACCCCTCGTGATGATTACGGCATCTGACTATGAGCCTTTTGGTGTTGGAATGAGTTGTGTCCCATTCAAAATGCCGAGTCATTGCTTCAGTCTCAAGGGCGTGCCGCACATCCTTCTTCGAGCCAAATTGTTGGCCCTTCGTAAACCCAGTGAGTGGGCCCCATATTGGGACCTCTGGCGGCTCCATGTCGCTGTTGACCATCCAATTGTCGTCTGGAATGTGATTGTAGTAGGGGACTGGTACACGGTCAGGAGCCACATCACCATCATTATCTGAACCCGAATCTGGTGCTGAATCATCAGCACCTTCAAGAGGGTCTGAGCTGTCTGCACTGACGTTGTTTTCTCCTTCTTCATCAGAGGGGTCGCTGACTGGTCCTGGTGTGGCAGCCTCCGTCTGATCCTGCTCATGAAAGGCACCTTCATCAGCTCCATAATGGTAGTTGTGAAAACTACCGCTGCCTGTCAGGAAGTTGTACTGGGCTTGGTTGGGGATGTCCGGTTGAACTTCTTCTTCATATGACGAGAACGATTGATGATGGCCTGCACCTTGCCCTCCATCTTGGTACTGAAAATAGGAATGAGGATCATGGTAACTTTGGTAGGGATGATCGTCATATAATTCACCTCCACCATGAATACCAGATGTTTGACCGTGTCCAGAATGACCTCCAACACTAACGGCTGGCTCGGTGTAAACGAACATCTCGGCTTTGGCCAATTTGTTGGACCTCAAGAATTCGAGCATGGAATCTACGTCATCTTGAGTGGTTATGGTATATTCCTCATGCCACAATGACCCAGTTGCTCTGTTTGGGTATCGGTACACCATACGGTCTACCCTCCTCGTGCCATCCATGCAAGTAACGTCAGTGCATATTCGATGGAGGTCTTCAAGCTTCGGTCTGGTACCGACCGTTACTTTCTGAAAATTGCCACCGACGTAGGTGGCCCCCTTTCCGGTGTCTTCCGTGTAACCATTCCACCGTAAGCCAAGCAACAACTGACGGAATGCCATCTGCACACAAACAAACCATAGTTTTAGTTAATATCATAAAAATCACAAATCACAAATAACAATAAAAAGTAACACAAAATAAACTTACGAGTTAATGTTAATGCAATAAAAAGTCACACAAAATAAAGAAACGAGTTAATGTTAATGGCATAAAAAGTAACACAAAATAAACTTACGAGTTAATGTTAATGGCATAAAAAGTAACACAAAATAAACTTACGAGTTAATCTTAATGGCAAACACACTAAATAAATATAGATATACAACAGAAAAATGAAAGAGAATGCGAGGGAGAATGAGAGGTGTGAAGAGTCTGTTTTCCGGCAAGTCTTATATAGGGGAAAAAATTGTGAAAACCGCACCTCTAGGGTGCGGTTTTAGTCTGCCATGCAACCCTACGTACATAATTCTCTGCATGTCTGTGATGGGTGTTGGAAAATAATTGACACGTAAACCGCACCTGGGGGGTGCGATCTACGTGGTGAAATCGCACCTTGCAGATGCGGTTCATGTTTGGAGAAATAAATCGCATCACCAAGGTGCGGTTTAGGTAGGTCAGGCCTAAACCGCACCTCGGCCATGCGTTTCATGTAGGCCAGACATGAAAACGCATGGGCAAGGTGCGATTTAGGCCCACCAAATTAGATCGCACTCTCAAGGTGCGATTTATGTGTAAAACGCACCTGGGGGATGCGGTTTATGTGTAAATCGCACCTGGAGGGTGCGGTCAATATAAAAGGGTGCTAGTTTTGTAAATATTTTTGACAGGGTGCTAGTTTTGTAATTTTTTTTTTAAAGGTGCTATTATTGGAAAAATCTCACTATGTGTGGTATCCCCAAATTCCCTATCAGTTCAATATAACTCCCAAAAAGAGCTTCTTTTGCTCCCGTACGTTTCTTTCTTTTTCTTCCCATTTTCCATTGGAAAGCAACTCCAAGGGTGACCTAAACGCGCCATATGGGTTACCTCCCCTAATCCATGCTAAGAGGACACTTTGCCCCATAAACAACTTGGCTTCATTAGTTATGGCAAAAGATCACATAATGAGGAATAGGGATGGCAATCAAACCCATGGCCGCGGGTACCCGACCGCCCCATACCCAGTCAACGCGGGGAATCCCCGCTTTGACCGGGTATGGGGCGGGTATGGGTAAAACCCGCAAAAAGTTTGATGGGTATGGGGCGGGTATGGTTTTAGCCTCCCCCGCCCCATACCCATACCCATACCCGCCCCACCAAGAGAATTTCTTCACATATCAAAAAATATGTGGATTAAATTGTAATCTATCAATGATGATGATGATAACTCGAGAAAATAAATAGTAGAAATGCAATTGAGTAACCACCTTAATCAAAACCTAATTCATTCCCTCAATTCTCCTTCCACTCTTTCACTTTCCCCCTTGTCAACAAAATTATGTTAGTTAATTATTACTTAGTAAATATATCAAGAGTTAGAGCATAATAATTTAAAAAATATTATAGTCTAGATTATGTATTAATGGATGTTTTAGGATCATATTCTTTGAATCGTATTTAGAAAATGACCGTGTTTTGTTGACTTCATGATATAATAGGTTTGTTTGTGGTTATAATTAAAACTTTTCTTGTAAGTTTTAGGTATAATAACGTTGGATGTACGGGGATGGGTATTACCCATGGGTACCCGAAACCCACGGGTATGGGGATGAGTTTGCAAAACATTCCTCCGCATGGGTATGGGGCGGGTATGGGTTTGGGTATTTGAAGATGGGGATGGGGATGGTTTAGACAAACCCGCCCCAAACCCGCCCCATTGCCATCCCTAATGAGGAAGAGTCTTAAAAGCTTTGGTTGGGAAGATTCCTTCCATGTCTCTGCTAATTGAACAACTTAAGGCTTCATTAGTTTCAACAAATGAAATAGTAATATGCACAAGGAAACTTTGGTTCTCTCTAATCTCCAGTTTTATTATCGGGCTAACGGGGAAAGTTAATCTGCTAACTTGAAGATTCGTTAACAGATACTAACTGATATCCAAAATACATGAACTAATATCCAAGTACTAAAGTATCTAGAGAGCACAGACTAGTATTCAAAATTTGCTAACTGATATCCACCATGAATCAATTATTATCCCAAATTCACAAACTGATATATAGACAACACAGAATAGTATCCAAACAACACATAATTAGTATCCAGATAACACATAAAAGTATCAAGATAACCCATAAGAGTATCCATATTGAATACTAGTTGGTTGATTGTGGATATTAGTTGGTATCTGCTATCTGGATACTAGTTTGTGATGTTTTGAATACTAGTCTGTGCTATCTAGATACTTAGCAGACTTCGATATTAGTTTATACATTTTGGATATTAGTTAGTATATACTAACGAATCTTCAAGTTAGCAGAATAACTAGGCTGCGTGCTAATGGGTAAGCGTCAAAACGAGTTAACGTCGTTGAATAGTACGATTTCAAATTTCTAAAATTATACCGCTTACTCCAAAGGCGTCAAACACAAACACAATTGACATTCGGTGGGATTTTGTTAAAACCGCTTTTGTCAGGAATGTCTGATTGGAGAGGGAGAGGGAGAGGGAGAAGAAGGGAAAAAATCCAAAAGTACCACCGTTACGTTCGTTTAGCGAAGAAGAGGCAAATATGCCATTTCAAGTTTTTTTGCCTTTTAGCGAAGAAGCCATTGTCACATGTGCTTTGTGGACAGCGATGGATGATGGAAGCTCATTATAATCAACAGTTTGCAGAGAACCAGCCTAAAAGATTACCACAGCAAAGTTTGCGTCTTTTCTTTTTTACTACTGATCAATGAAGAAGAAGATGGCGATGCTCTCATGGTCCTGCCTGTTTAAAAGGTGGAAGGAAAATCAATCCCTCCAAAAGGGTGTTGTTGCGTAATGTAACAAATAACCAGAGAACTTTGTATGAGTCTGTTGCTGAAATCTAGACTAACTTTGGCATTGTCTTCTTCCTGGTCCGTCCTTCCACCCTAGCTAGCTAACAGCTCTCTCTCTGATTTACTTTTGTCTTGTTTTCTGTTTGGTTCCCTAGAAATCTGGACGCGATACATCCGCGTCCATCCATCCATGGCTCTTCTGCTCTGTTCTGCTTCATCATACAGAAGTAAGACATGCATTCCCTTCTCTGCTGCTGCTGCTGAAAGAGAGAGAGAGAGACCCTTTACTTCTGCCCACCACTCAATTATTTCTGTTCCCATTTCTATCTCTCTTTGGATCTTTCTTCTTTCCTTCACTCGAAGAGAGTAAAAAAGAATGGGGGACCCTTGGTGGTGGACTGGTGGTGGTGGTGGTGGAAAAATGGCATGGTGAAAAACACGAAAAAGTAAACAACTTTCTCTTAACACCATTCCATTTTTGTTACATCCCACTGTTTCTCTTCTTCCCTCTCTTTGATTCCACAGTGGTGCTGATATTTTCTTTCCTCGTTGTCTCTCGGTTCATCGGTCGATGTTTCATATGATCCATCGATGTTTTGTACGCGAGAACTAGCTGGCGACTGAACGGGTAATCGCGTACTAGCTGGCGACTGAAATGGGTAATCAGAGGTTTCATATGCAGAGATTCATTAGCCATGAGATGCATTGATGCAGGTAAGAACGCAGAACTGATAAAACAAAGCATACTGTTGAAATCTGAGCACACTGCCCTGGAATCAGAAAGATAAAGCAGATAAGCCATTGAACATGCTTCAGATACAAGCATCCAAATGAGTATCATTTGCACACAACTTTGGTATATATAGTTGGAAGGCTAAAAGAAAGCAAGTTGCACACAAATATTGAAGATTCCCAGGTTTTGTCTCCTTCAATGCTAAACTTGGATAGGAAATATTCCATCCAAGTAGCTCCTTTTGGATGTTTTCTCAAAGGGAAAAGAAGAAGCTATGTCTGTAGACCTAGTTGCTTCCAATGCTACACCACCTTTCTTTTTCTTGCTTCTGAATCTGCATGCTCAGATATTCACTCAAACATCACACAGAATTTCTTTTGACATCATAGGATTTCTAGTCATAAGAATGGAACATAGATATACCAAAACAGCACCCTGAACACAATAGGAAACCCAAAAGGAGAAAGGTAGAATAAAGGGAAAAGCACAAGGTAAGCCTGATACTTCATCCCATCATCCATCATCTCAACCTGAGATCTTGAGAATACGATTTGCCCCTGATACGGTTTGGTTCTAAGGCGTCTTCTATACTTATTTGTACAACTCATGCAAATTCAAAAGATGTGATGGACGCACTCTGAATATACAGTAGGAAAGATATGTTAGATCAATTTGTACTGATAGAGAAGCACACCAAAATTTCTATTGATCCCCGCCGCTCCTTATCTTGATCTCCATAAGTTCTTCAATCGGTTGGCGGCATATGGGGCACTTGTTCGTTTGCATCCTCAATTCCTTTGCACACTCGCTGCACATACACTGAAAAAGATGTGGACTTTATGACGTGAGATCAAGCTCCAAAGAGAAGCTAACATCTATGTCTTTTCCATTTCATCATCAAGGCTTAATAGACAAAAGATAATAGATCTCGGACACTTACCATATGTCGACATGGCAAGACGGCAGTATCCTTGGGTTCGGTCATGCAAATCACACATTCTTTCCCGGGTTCGCTGTCATTGAAATCTTCAGCTTCGGAACCACTAGCCAAGCCATAAATCTCACGAAGCTCATATCGAACTCCCTCAATCCACAATATCTGCCTTATTACTTTGACATGGAAAAGTTCATCATCTTTCTTCTTCTCTAGAACAGCTTGAGTGATCTGCATATTGCCCGATCCCAGTACAGAACCACAAAGGTGGCTTTGATCGGTTGTTGAATTAAGTGGTGGGGATGTTTCAGCGACTATAACAAGTGGAAAAACATCTTCTTCAACCGAAGGTTTTAAGAGATCATCCAGCTCAAAGAAACCCAAGTCGATCCCTGTCCCTGATGGTTGGCAAAACTTCTGTGCAACACCTTTCTGAAATGGGACCCGGACCGGGAGATGAGTGTCGGGATATGCTGGAACAAACTTACAGTTGGTCTCTTCTTTAGCAAAGTAGGAAATGGTAATGCTGTTACGTAGAAACAAATGCAAAGCAAATGACATTAGAGATACAAAGAAACATTGATAAGTATCTACAGAGTTTTCAAGGAGGAAGCAGAGGAAGACAGAGACCAAAAGAGATAACTGTGGCAGTAAGAATGAACTGCAAACTAGAACTATATTGAGCATATATATGGCACCAGGTAGAGTAACCCTATTGTAAAAAAAAAAGGTAGAGTAACCCAATCAGGAAAAAGTATATTGAAATTACTACTACATCACAACACCCCCTCCCCCCTCTCCCCCCCCACACACTCAACCCACCCACCCACACATCTAGACTCTAGAAAGCAAGCACTTAGTTTTAACTGTATAAACTAAATTTCTTCGACATTTTGAAATCAGTTTTGTACTATGAATTCTTTGCTCATTATCAGCATGATAGGTGTTTGTGGAGGATGGTAGTAAACTATATCAGGGCCTCGCTGTTCTCGAGACCTCTTGATATATTCTTAGTTTCTTACTACTGTCTCAGCTGCCTTAACAGATCAATATCATTGATACTCAATCTTTAGTGCACATAAGTTTTGCTTGCAAAACTCCAGCTGTTCTAGCAGCTTAAACATGATGCTATAGAGAATCATATCATTGAACCCTTCTTATTGGTATCGACAACACAATAGCACAACTACTGTGTAGTGCAACAACCTTCATGACTCGTATCTTTGTAAAAAGAACTGGAAGGGAACAACCATCCAAAGTATCAAGAAAAGTAACATTCAACATCGTACAAAGTCTTGTCAAGGTTTTGCAATTAAATTCTCATTTCATTCGATGTAACTATACCATATATTGAATTCAACCGGCATAGATATCCAACACCTTCACATGGATAAAATCAACCATTCATATTCCCTTCTGTGCCCTGTCCTAATTTCAGTATCTCTGGTCCCAACATTCCTTAAATGCTTCATTGAGCTCGCAACATATACCTAGCCTCAGTTTCAGCCAGCATACGAATGCTTATGATTATGAAAATCAACCTCTAGGATTACACTGGCTAGGTGAAAAGGGAAACAGAGTAAGGGGTTAACAAATTGTCATGAGACATGATTCTAATACATTCCCAATTGGCCAAATGCACGTTCAGTTCTAAGGGGAAAATGAATCAATAGCAAGGCAGCATTCTTCATCCACCATAAATCAACCGCACAATTAAAAACAAAAGGGTTTGAAACAAACAACTACTAACCTTCCATCAACAAGCGCATCAAAAACGAAAGAAACCAAGTGATGATCCGGGTTCTGTTCATCCAATTCAAGCCTCAAAGTCTCCTTATGAACATTAACCTCATTCCTGACCTTCTTAGCATTCTGATGCTCAACGTACGGCACCGGCTGAATCGGCTGCGGAGGACCCACACTAGGTCTCGCCGCATAAGGCTGCTGCGGCCACCCGCCAGCTGAATTGCCGTAATAGTAGGGCTGAGGATTGTACCTACCCACCATGTGATTCGAATATCCGCACGAATTGTAAGGGTGGGATGCGTAGTAGGACTGAATCGGCGGCGCTGGCGGTGGGTGAGGAGGCGGAGCTGGTGATGGCGCGTAAGAGGGTTGTGGCGTGGTCGCCGAAGCTGCCGCTGTGGTGGTCGTGGTGGCGGCTGAAGAGGAGGGGGTGGAGTAATAGCCTTGATGGGGCGGTGGAGGAGGTGGTTCTGCGGCGGGGAAGTATTGAGGCGGCGGCGGCGGGAGGTGGTGTGGGTGATGTTGGTAGTAAGTTTGGTGGTTGTGCCTTCTTCTGCTGTTGCTCCATGAAATTCCCATTCTGGATCGATTCAGAGAAGAAGGAAGGAAGGATCAGAAGAAGAAGGGGATTTGAGATTTGTCTATGGGGGAGGAGAGGTAGCTGTGGGGGGCAGAGTTTTGTCAGAGAAGGGTCAGGGAAGGGCAGCTTGTGTGTAGTTGAAGAAATGACTTGTTTCTTTCACGAAATTTTTTTTTTTACCGTGTATGACTTTGACTTTTGGGCTGTCAACAATTACCACGCTAATCAACGCAATTTCCCACGGTCATTTAATTTATTTTTCAGTCAAATCGATGGTATTTCACATGGGGAATGAGTTTTGAGCCTTTCTTGACTCTTTGTATGAACTTGTCAATCTTTATGCGTAATTAGGGATGATAAGTTGATAACGATAGGATGTCAAAAATATCCGTAATCGTGGATATTTATCGGAACTCGGCCTAATTGGTTAGGGAAATTCGAACCCGAAAGACATTTAGTGAGAACTGGTAAAACTTGAACCCGAATATTGCGGGTAATGGGCGGGCATGGGTTTCTCAATATCCAACCCGAACCCGCCCGATTATACACATACATATGTATTTTGTCTAGAAATAATCATTATTTTTCTTTAACATATTTTACATTTAACATATAAATATAATATTTTCATGAAATTGTGTTGTTTTAATTAATTTTCTTCTTTCTAGTGAATTATTGTCATACCTTTTCTCTTACGTAATGTGAGAATACGTGTGAATGTTAACATATTGGTTGGAGTTATGAAGAGAAATCATTACCCATGAATAACCGTGAATACACGAAACCCGAACGGGTATGGGCGTGATTTTAATTTTCTACTCGTTTCATATGTGGGTATGGGTACGGGTAAAACCCAAACTACTTTGGGTAGGGTAACGGATATGCACTATCCGTTCCCAACCCGACCCATTGCCATCTCTAGATAACGAGTCCATCTACGTATGATTTATTGATTCTCAAATTATTTTATGGCCAATCCTAATTAGCTTTTAAAAATGATAATTCAACAAAGTAAAATCAACAAAAAAAAAAATGCAAACAATCAACTCAAAATCAAATTGTTGTCTTGATGAGTTTTGACAAATGAATTAATTTTCACTGCATTGTTTTGCCAATATTAAGGATTTTGTTCGAAGAAAAAAAGATCGACAAAATCATTATAGTCCGTAGGTGGCAACAGAAACAAAAAAATTAAAGAAACATGTAAAATGCAAGCTTTGTTCATTCATCCATCGCAAGTCGCAACAACCATGTATTGGTGAAAAGCTCGCAACTCAGCTAAAAACAAAAACATTGATATAGATTAGTGAAAACCAACACGCTAAGGAGGAAGAGACTTGGCATTTGCGGTTTGCTTCTTCTTGTTTGTCACTCGTTGCCAAGAAAAGGAAGTTTCCCTATTCATGAAACTAGCATGTACCCGGTCCATTGGCCGGAATATTTGATTTTATGATTTAATTAATTATAGCAAATTAAAATTTTCCAACAATTTTTCAATAAAATGTTTTATTCATCAAATTTTCCAAAGTCTGGCCATAGTATGAGCAGGTTTATCACGATATCCATACTATCAATAAAATTCTTTTGCATGTGATTTATATCATTAGATTCTTATAACTTTTTCGAAAAAGAAAAATTACATTGCTTCTCATAATCTCAATCTGTATCATTTGCTCTCCTTAAATCCAAAAATCATAATTACATTTTGAATGCATACATGAATATAGGTTACCTAACAAAGAATTTGAGTACGAAACTCAAGTTTGTGTGCTTTTCCCTATTTTTTCCAAAAAAAAAAAACATAGGACTTTGCTACGGTGACATGCATGTCACGGTGACATGCACGTCACGGTGACATGCACTTTTCGGTCGACCTCATATAGGATCAGGTCGATCTAATATGTTATTTCAGTGTAAAAACAGTTTCATGGTGCCTACTTTGGAGATTCATATCTTACAATTGGCTAGATGGAAATTGGAGATTAAAGGCTTGTTTGAAGCTGAAGTGTCCCTCTACACATTAAAGTACTTGGGAGCTCAATAGAAAGTCCAGAAGACCATTTTTGAACCTGACCAAAAGGCTATGCCAAAACTGGGAAACTGCCTGAAAATGGCTAAGTCTGGCAACGTGTTTGTCAAGCCTACTTTGGAGCTCAATTTGAGAAGCATGGATGCGAGTCAAGTCCAGTGGCCTCTACCACGTTAAATTACGTATTTTTTATACAAAGGCAAGGCATTGGATGAAAGATTGAATATCTTTAAGGCTTCAAACAAAAGGCTTGAAGTTGCTACGAAGGTTGTTTTCTGGCAGCTTGCTTGTGCTCGAAGTCTGCCAGAAAAACAGCCTTCGTAGCAACTTCGACCCTTTTGTTTGAAGCCTTACAGATATCCAATCTTTCATCAAATGCCTTGAATTTGTATAAAAACATACCTAATTTAACGTGGTAGAGGCTCCTGGACTCGACTCGCATTCATGCTTCTCGAATTGAGCTCCAAAATAGGCTTCACAAACACGTTTCCAGACTTAGCCATTTCCAGGCAGTTTCCCAGTTTTGGCATAGCCTTTTGATGAGGTTCAAAAATGGTCTTCTGGACTTCCTATCGAGCTCTAAATCGCTTCAATATGTAGAGGGACAGTCCAGCTTCAAAACAAGTCATTATTCTTCAATTTCCATCTAGCCAATTGTATGATATGAATATCAAAAGTAGGCACCATGAACTGTTTTTACACTGAAACAACAGATTAGGTCGACCTGATCCTATATGAGGTCGACCGAATCCTAAATGAGGTCGACCAGATCCGATATGAGGTCGACCGAATTCTAAATGAGGTCGACCGAATTCTAAATGAGGTCGACCTAATCCTAACTGAGGTCGACCGGATAGTGCAAGTCACCGTGACATGCATGTCACCGTAGGCACACCCAAAAACATATCCTCGTGTAATGATTTATGTGACATTAGTTCAGTCTCAACTAATTCAACGTGGACAAAAAAAAACACCATACCCATTCATTTCTTTGATTTTTATGTGCTTTCATTTTGTTAAACTTTTAGAATTAACCATCAATCATTAAATCACAAAAAATTAGCTTGCTAATGTTTTAATCATATATTAACTCTCAATGCTAAAATCAAAAGGATGTATTGTATTTGTACACCAAATCCTGACTCTATATATAGCTAAACAGATAAAACTCTTAATCATTGTTGTCAACGCATTTAGAAATATTGTAAATCATGAACATTATACACATTATAGCTTAATCGAGAATATGACCCAATTCAAAAAGAAGGTGGTCTTAACTAAGAATATAAATAAATTAAAATGAACTAAATAAAACTAAGACATTAAGAAAAAAGTGATTATCAGCACCATTCTCGTCTGTTTTAATTTTATATTACTGATATTATAGTTTATAAATTAACTATATGATCCATATCCGGACTCTGTACTCGATAAACATTTTGGAGTTTCTATCACACAATCATGTTAATTATATATTAACATAACGCCATTTTATTTTATTTTATTAAAAATCTTAATTTGTAACTATATATTTTTCCGTGAATTATTACTCAATTTGTAGGTGCATTGCTACAACAATTTGTCCATAAGAAGTAGTTCGCTGAAATGCTTAAAATAAACTCCAACAATCCAATACAATATCAAAATAACCATTATTTTAGAATTCATAATAAAAAGCACATTAAGAAAGCTTACAGATTGTTCATAAAAAATCATAATTAAATGATAATCCAAAAAAATAAAATAAATGAAAGTGTTGCGCAAAAAAAAAAATATAAAAGGTTAAAAAAATCTAATAGATTAAAAAAAAATACATCCTTTTGTTTTATTTTAATTTTTGAGTTCATAATCAAATGATATTCCAAAAACTATAGGTAAGTGTTGCATACAAATATAAACATTTTGTTTAATTTTAAACATGTTTCATATTATTTTATTTCCCTCTAATCTCTTCTCTCTCCATGCTTTTTGTATGCACTACCGAAAATCAATGAGAAAAAACTGTTTTTAATATTAAAATCAAGGTATGATTACTTTTATACCTTACATACAATTAAGGACAATTAAAGAGAAGAAATGAAATTTGAAACGGTGAAAATCCTTATTCTTTAGACTTTAGATTTAGACTAGCGTGGGCTCCGGCCAGTTGGCAGGAGGAAGGTGAAGTATGAAATTTGATAATGTAATGTGGTGTATAGCTTATTGTTGTGTAGTTTTTTTTTTCTTTGAATCACGTGATAAAAATAGTGAATTTTAGTAGGAAAGAGACATGAATGATGCAATGAATCAAAAATCAGCCTTATGAGCCCAAATCAACTACCTTTTACCTTGTGAAACAATATTGCTTATAGTAATATGATGAGGTGGAGTAAGTTTTATAGAAACTGAATTCATGTATTCGAATAAAAAATCACATATTCCTCCGGTTTTCAGGAAATGAGCATCTCACAATCGTTGCTAGCTTTTACTCGGCCCGTTGGCCGATTAATTTGCTTTATAAAACTTTCATCTTGTCGTCATTGCGCTTTCTAGTTTTTGCCAGTCCATGATAAAATCTAAAGAAATGAAGAATGAACAACACGATTTGGTATAGGAACCGCCGTTCCTTTATCCCTAGAAAATGGTGGTAAACACGGACTTACCTGCCAAACTGGTTTGGATTGAGATTTTTATCGGGTATCAAGGAACCATGTAATTATAAATTAAAATTGATCAAAATGGGGCCAAAACTTGAAATTCAACATGTTTGACCGACCCATGCCAAACTCTAATTATTCTTTACTTTTAAACTTTCTATTTGAAAATAAAAAATAGTGAAAGAAAAGAGATGACTGCAATTCACCATTTGCACATCACTGATTCGGGAATAAAACTATAGAAATTCGAAAAGAAACTGAAAATGTTTAGGATAGTTTTAATGTTAAAAATAACCAAATAGATCTTTCTGTTTAGTTTTTTACTAACAAATACCAAATGGTTCCCTATAAAATACATTATAATTTAATCATTATGATATCAAATAATTACATAATATATATTTGAAATGATAAAAATTGGACTTATTGGGTTGGTCGAGGTTGTACCATTGAATAACTTTAAAATACATTATATTTAGCCACTAAGATATAGCATAATATATATTATGCTAGAGAAAATAGCTTGTTTTAGAATGACAAACCCATGATGTTCATTTGTTTTACTTGATGGCCAAATCTCGTGTAGGTCAAGCCCATTCAGCTCTTTTATTTTATGGTTAGCGGTTAACCCATTAAAATCCACGCATTAGTTTATTGTTAAATTTTTTTTATTTTTAGCAGTAAAAGGAGTATTGTTTTTGCCTTTTCATATATATTTTACCACCACGAAGAAATAAAAGGGCTTAAGGAAAAAAATTGACACTCCTAGACCCGTTTAAATCCGCATGTGTACGGTAAGTTGACCCGTTCCATAGAGGAAAAAGAAAAAAATTGGCACTTCATATTCTACCCTTCCTACAAACGCTCCTGGAGCAGGGAATTTGAAATGGGGGAAATGTTTTTTCCTCTCTGCTATTATATGTTTTTAATTTAAAAATGCTACTAGAGCAGGGAATTTGAAATGGGAGAAGAGTTTTTTTTTCTCTGCTATTATATGTTTTTAATTTAAAAAGATATATCAAATGTACTTAGTGTATTGGTTATGAAATGGGGGAAATGTTTTTTCCTCTCTGCTATTATATGTTTTTAATTTAAAAACGCTACTAGAGCAGAGAATTTGAAATGGGAGAAGAGTTTTTTTTCTCTCTGCTATTATATGTTTTTAATTTAAAAAGATATATCAAATATACTTAGTGTATTGGTTATGATCTTTACTTTTATTTAAAGTAGTCATGGTTATCTACAAGATATATAATGGAGATTCATGTATTGAATTTTCAGCATTTTGAATTTGCTGGCATGAGAGGCTTTTCCGGAAGGGTAATTCCGACAATTTGCCCTGCAACTTAATGAAGCTGTGCGTTTAGCTTTTCTCCACTAATCCTTCTGGGTTCCGCTGTGTATTGTTTGAGGCCCATATTTTTGTACCTGCTAGCCACAATGGGCCCGGCCAGATTCGGCATGCCTCTGGGTATAGAGCCCGTCCAATATTATGGCCCCGTGAGGGTTTTTTTTTTATTGTCACATGCTTTGCTTTCTTGATACTTAAATGTCACGATTGGACTATAGGTGTGCCGATGTCATGCATGAAAGCTGCTTTTGTGACGTTTCTTTTGTTTTTTTCCCATTATATTACATTTTTACTCCTTCAGACTCAATTGTTTACTAATTTCCTGTCCATCCTCCATGCATGCATTTGGACGGACTTGGAAATCACAGTCTTTTCCATTCGTTAATAATTTAATATTAGCCATGATATCAAACACCATTTGAGGAAATAAAACTACATTTGGACACGCATGCATCTGCAGCAGCCAGCAGGGAAGGACAGGTAACTACACATATATGTATTGAAGGTGTAGTAAACATAAAAGTCAGACTAATTAACCGTAGGGATTATTTGGGTAACCTTGGTTTTGCCTCATAAATTAACTAAATGTACACAATAGTTGAGTCAAATGAATGCATAGGAATTCGTACATGAATTGTTTCGGTAAATATGGAGGGTAATTTTTTTTCTAGGAGCATACATATTTTATTATCTTTTGTTTTTTTTTTTTAATGTCATGGCAATTGAGTTTCAAGTTCTCCCTCATGCTATTTTTTAGTGTTCATAGCTCCGGGATATAAATTAAGGGAGCAAAGGAAATTGATTTTGTAATATCTGCGGAAATACTCAACTGTGACGTCGTTTATATTACATTGTCCATGTGGTGTTATGGATCGTAATGCTCATTGCAGAGAAGGTTGGCGTGTGTACTGAACGTTTTCCCATTGATTTCTTTGTAGTATGTATAACTAATTATAATACAAGAATGGGATGGGACATGCAACCCATGTGGTGTTTTGATTTTCTCCCTATTTGTACAACTTCATGTAATTAACAATGACAAGTCACAAGTGTTCAAGTCTTAACATATGCTCTTTTCCGTAATTTGCCCGCAACATTTTGACACCCAAAACGGTAATTGATCTGTTTGTTACCTAATTGTAGCTCCGACATTTAGAATTGACAAACGGCATAAGATAACATCCATGAAGTAAATATATACATGGTAATGGTTACATAACTAACTTATCTATATATCAACATTTATGGTAGACTAATGAAACAAAAAAAATCATTAAACAAGACTCCTATGAAGTTGCCAAACAACGTGCACAAATTTGTTCAATTGTAGATATAATTTCACTTCGATTATCTCCTTCAGCCCACTGTGAGGGATTTTCAATTTTATATTTTTTGTATCGACATATCTTCAATGTAATCTTATGTTCATACATATCTTTTCTTTGATTTCATGTAATTAAAAATATAAATATTGTTTGTAGGGAAATTACTACAATGTTGTTGGTCATATCTACCGTATGAGAGTAATTTGGGAATTTAACCGTTCACAATATATTATTCTACTAACAATTGGTTACAACTTTGGTTCATGCCTGATATATTTAAAATCCTCCAACGATCAACTTCATATCTTGCCTGATCTGTGATCAATAAGGATGATGTCTATTGGGATAAACACTTTTGAGATATATTTAACTCTATCAGAGACCAATAATTTTCTTTCGCCGTTACGGTTAATTATGTTTGTATTATGGGAAGCAACACCAATATTAAAGTATATGGCTTACTTAAGAAGTGAAATACAATTACTTATTTTTTCTATCGAATAATTATATTTATTTCTTACATCATAATTTTTTCTTTTTATTTTATTGTATGCACTTTATGCATAATTGGACCACTGCCATAGCTATGATACAAGGACAAGTTATATACATTGTTGAGCATCTATTGTATCAATTATATATATTCCATTGAAACTCCCCGGCCAACGGGCGGGCCCAGTGCTAGTTTTATTTAAAGTACTTTACTTTTATTTAAAATAGTCATGGTTCAAATCGTAGTAAAAATAAACATTTTCTGTTGCCGGGCCTTGAACCTTGGTGTTTCGAGTGAGAGCAAAATATCCTCACCAACTAGACTACAACGAATTTCTAGTTGCTTTGTAAACTCTTAACCTATTTTAAGCAAATTGAAAAAATGAATCCATTCCTCACCAGTCCACACCAATCTGAGTTATTCACAGAAACACAAAGAAATCATAAACTCGACGAGGACAGAAACAAATTAACCCCAACCACTACAAGAACAAGAAAGAAAATCACATAGATAAGCTCAATCAGCAGGAATCAGGCCTAGGCTTCTTCCTAACAGCAATGCACCCACGTTGTTCATCCCTAAGTACCCGAATCTCACAACACTCCCTCAAATCCTCCAAGCTCAAGTACTGCTGCTTCACCACCCTGCTAAAATCCCCACCTGCATCATGGACCCATATGTACGGCTGGCACGCCTCATCATGATCATAGTAATACAACAGATTCCTCATCCCTCCACCATTGCCGCAGCCGCCGCCATGACGACCACCTGGCATGTAGGCCTTGTATATGCTCTTGCAATTGAGCCTTTTTGAGGACCCTGTCTTCAAAGTGTGAACCTTTTTCAGGATCGACCCGACTCGAACCTGGAGCTCGATCGGCCTGTCACTCAGGTTCCAGATTCTGGTCACAAAACCTGAGCCTTGTTTGTGATCCCTGCACCCATCGAATAGGCACCCTCTCAGCAGGGGAAGTATGCAGAGTGCCTTGAGAGAAAGCTTGTGTTTCAGCTTTGGAGGAAAATGCATCTTTTTGGCCTGTGTTTCAGCAAATGATGGTTTGGGTTGGGGCTTTGGATATATATGGTAATGGGGTTTGAAAAAGTTTTGAGCTTTGGTTAATTTTCATAGTTGGATTGGGAGGTCATGTAGCAGGCCAATGGGTTCCTGATTTTTGGTGAGGAGGAAATGGTGGGGGCCAAAGGAATGATGGGGTGGAAGGTGGAGCATTGAAATGGAAGAGTGCCCTTGAATTTGTAGGCCCAGTCAGTAGTTCAGGACAAGAGGGCGACACAAACCAGATAGGAAAAAAATGGTTAAGTCTTGGTATGGTAAATGGCGGGGAAAAAGGGAGGAGCTTTGTCAATTTGCTAGGTTTCTGGCTTTACTTATCTTTGTTAGGGTTTAGAAAGCGAAAGAATCAGCACCAAATGAATCAATGTTAATGATGAAGTTGGAAATGATTCTGCCTTCACCTTTCATCATTGGACAGTTTTCAAAGTCATCATCCACCAATTCTTTCTTCAGCCCATCTCAGACTCTGCAATTGGTGTCGTATTGTTAGAGATTGCTTCACTTTGCGTGAAATTGTGTATCTTCATTGCTGCTAGATTTGTGTGTAGGTTTACTTAGGTTTGCAAATAGTCACCCAACTTTTTTTTACCACCTCTAATGTTTTCTTCACCTTGATTTTCAAATGTGCTAGTCACCACCATTGTAATGTGTCCTTCTGTATGGTCTCCACTAGATGAGTAATCTTGGAGAAAAGATACTGTGTAAGACTGTAAGTAGCAAGCATGACATGAGCAACAAGTTGTTTGAATGGAAACAAGAGAGTGACCAATTACATAGGGTTTCCCTTTCCAATTATTGAATGAAGACAAGAGAATCACCAATTATAAGGGTTATCACCATCAGTGAGCAACATATTCATAGAAGAATTGTGCAAAAGAACATGGGCTTCCTGCAAAGTTCCCATTCCATATCTATTCAGCATTGGAAACCCACTGTATCTCACATGATTCCCAAGTTCAAGACCACTTCACAACGAGAAGAAAAGTCTTCTACCAATCTTTGATTAGCGTGCCCCACAACCTGAAATGGAAGGTACAACATCTTCTGAATACATACACAGTGCTTGTCAGACAAGTTAATTGGTCTGGCCAGTGGAAGGAGCCAAAGCTCTCTAACTCGAGATATTTCCATGTTTCTATCTACCGACACCAAAGTTTCCAAGAGATCTATCCTTTTCTAATCAAAGTTGCACCCACGTAGTCAACATCAACAAAGCACAGTGCTTTCAAACTATATTCATGGCTGGCATTCGAGACGAGGTTAGATTTAGCTACCATTAGTTGATTGCATGTCGATCAGGGACCTGATCAGCGTTCAGACTATCATCCAAACTGTACAGAACTCTGGGTAAGTAGCAGATTGCTTGACTATCAAACTGGAAGCAATTGGCTTTTGACACAGAAGGGAGGATTTACAAATAGATCACTGGTTTCGTTTGTTCTCGATGTAATCTTCACTGTCTATCTTGATTAACAGAGGCTGGTTCAGATCACTTGAAGGATCTACCACCACGGGCAACTCCGGTGAGGCTGATGACCCATCTATTTCATCACATTCAGCCAAAGCTTTGTCCAGGGCAGACTTGGCAACTTTGGTTACCGTGAATATCATAACCACTGCACATGGAAAAAGTCGCGAGGTCAAACGTTCATGCATGCAAGGCCAATGCCGAAAAGAAAAAGAAGCATGATTGCATATTGTTGTAGTAGTAGCCGATGGACTTACCGGAAACAACTAGGCTCAAGACAATCATCACCTGCATATAAGAAGTCCAGGTAAATTGTGCATATTGGTGTCACAGACAGAAACAAGCTATTGGAAAGATAAAATAATAATATGATAACTCCTATATACTCACTTATTTCAGTTCAATGAAACCAGATTCCTAACACTTTCAGTGTGAGTTTTAACTCTAAGTACCAAGTTTTAGGCCAATGGAAGTTGATTCCCAAGCTTTTTTCACTCCAAACATAAACCATGAAACTGGAATGGGAAATAAAATTTCATTTCCCGAGTTTTTAGGATATCAAAACAGGCCGTAAAAGTGCAACTGATAGCAAATGACGTGAAGAATATTGAGTGGTTTGCTTACCCAACGAGTTGGCGAGAATTCACTCCAACCATGCGTTACATCAGAAAGATCCTTGAGAGTTGTTCCAACATAGACTAGTGCAAATGTTATTGGCTGCAAACAAATAAGAAGTTTAGTTGCAGGGGAAAGCTGACATGAAAGTTGTCCAATATACTTATACTAATGCATGCATTACTTACCATCATTCCTAACCAGGAAGCCAGCATGTACTCCATAAAAGAAACAGGAGTAACCGACAGCAGATAATTCAACATGTTAAAAGGGAGCAACGGAACTAGCCGAAGCAACAGAACAATCTGCAGCAAGGAAACAAATTCCACCGGTTTCACATAAAACAGGCTTGTAAGATGGAATCATCATAGAAACATTGGATGAAGAATCAAGAACCTTGAATCCAGATCTTTCAATAGCAATAGCAACTGATCTGAACTGTGGATAGTCCTTCAACTTGGCAACAACCATAGACCTACCAAGCTGCATATAAGTAAGCAGAATGAAACAAATTATGGTCAGGCATTTGCACAAAATGACCCATAAGTTGTATCTGGCACCAAGCTTACAAGAAAAAGAACTGAAAATGGAGACAAATGACTACTCAGGAGTCGTATCATATTTCTGTCTCAATCCTTCTGTACAATGCATACACGATTAAATATTCACCAATATATCATGCATAATCCTAAACTGATGGATGATCCTCCTACTGGGATGTAAGAAACATACAACTAGGTGAAATTGAATACAACAGCAAACTACACGATTCTGAGAACTTACAGTTCTTCCGAGAAGAAATGCAGCACATGCACCAATCGTGGCACCAATAGAATCAGCAACAAAGCCAATAGGCAACCCAAAAAGATATCCGCCACCAAGCTGAAAGATAAATGCTAAGTCAGTGGAGCTTCAGTGAAATATTCAGTGCAGTTTTCTTGTCAGTAAATATTATATTGCCTTTGCGCATTTGACATTGAAGGAAGTATATGCAGTTGCTTTCTATAGCTAAGTTTGGATAAACATGGGTAACAATAACATGGATGCTTACAGTAAGCACTGATGCAGGAACTGCCAAGATCGTTAAAGGTATATATGCCACAGCACTGCAAATAAAATTAAACATCAGCCAATGAGGAAAGAAAAAATTTCCATACCATTATAACATGTACCAGTTATACCAAAACTATAGTCAGTTAACATGTAATGTAAGAGTTCCAGTAAGTATCTCAATCATAAATTCCACTACCAAGCCTTTTAAACTAAAACTGATGAGATGTTCCACTTTCTGTTATAGTCTTCCACAATAAAGTTGCAAACAACTGAAACTGCAAAGGAAGAACCAACAAGAGCTAACAATTCCAAGAGCAAATGAGAAAGTAACTATCGAACTTAAGTGAATTGTGCACATTACTCTCCAATAAAGACCAAAGAATGTGCCGATAGACAAAGGGTTATACTGCCATGAGTTATCTGCATATGATGATACCGATGCTGTCATGTTAACCAACTAGAGACAAATAGCTGGCATTTTCTCAACCAACTTAAACCAAGAAAATTGACTTGTAGTAATATTATTATAAGGAACACGGTAACTCCAACCATCAAGTGGGACAAATGTTATGAAGGGAAGAACAAATCAATGTATTAAGAAACAAAACTGAACGAAGGAAACAAATTAAACATAAACAAGATCAATTGACTTACAGCACAAGGGGACCCCATGCCCCGAGATCCTGCTCAACCCATAATAAGAAGTCCTTCAGTATCTGCAATGGAACAGTGATTTTGGTCAACGAAAAGAGAATTGCAAGGTATCCCGTAAAACTCAATATATGCAACTGTATATGAAGAGGGACAGGTCAAAGCTATATAAACGGATCTGATCCTTCAGTACACAATCCACTAAAGAATGAGATCAAAGTGGCAGCAATAGATTGCAGCTAAGGAACTGCCTTGATCTTAATTTGAACAAAGGCATCATCAAACCTTAGCAACCACAAACACTGAATTAGCATCCATTGTAGCATGAGCTAGTTCAGGATTGAACAGCAAAACCATAACTTGCTCAACAATCAATGCATAACTACAGAAGTCATAAACCACCCAACAAAAACCCAATTCACAAATCCAGCTACCAAAGCAGCATTCCCTTCAAACCCCGAGACCAATCGGGGAAAGATGGGGCGGGTGACGCACCTTTTCAACGGGGAGAGTGAAGCAGGCGACAACCACAGCGGCGAGGAGAAGGAGGAGGACAGTGATCCTGAGAGCAGAGGTCCAGGAGAAGGAAGCCATGGAAGACAAAGAGGCGAAGAAGAAGGATGAAAGCCTTCGACGCCAAGGCCTGGAGTGGGTGTTGTCTTCGAGATCGCCGGCGGATGCAGCAATGGGTTGCTTCAAAGGCAAGCGAGGGCGCAATTTCCCTAGATTTGCCAGTCTTAATTTGGCCCCTCGCCTCGCTTTCGGCAGATTGATTCCGGGGGAAACAACCCACCAACTCTCCTTCTCCCTGAAACCCCCAAGCTTCTCTCTGCGCTAGCTCTGACCTTCGCCCGAATCAAAACCAGGAAAAGAATTGAGCTAGGTGAAAAGCTTTGATCTTTATATGGGAAATCCGAAGAAAAAGTAATGGGAAATGGGGTAAATTGGAGATTTCGATTTTTTTTTTTTTTTCTAACTGAATTCTGCTGAAACGAGAAAAATCCGTCCGCGGTCCATCCAACAACCGTCGGAGTAAAATTTGGTGGAAATTTGGAAAGAATGGTTTGGATTGCGTTGAGCTTTTATTTATTTGAAGTGGGATTGGATTGAGTTGGAAGTCAAGAGTCTTCCAAAGATGGAGAAATAAAAATGGGGGAAGGGAGGAAAAGCAAGCTACACACTCTATCCCCGCGCCGGATGTGGATTGGTCGGCGTCAGCTCTCTCTCTCCCCCTCTCCTTAGCTTTGCTGGCGGTGCAACGTAGGAAGCGAAATAAAAAGAGACGTTTTCCGTTGCCGGGACTTGAACCCGGGTCTTTCGGGTGAGAGCCGAATATCCTGACCAACTAGACTACAACGGATGTTGTTTCAAAGCAACCTGTATTTGTTTATATAACTAAACTTATGATTTCGAGATTGGACTTGACTATGCTCAAATCGGTTAGATAACGCAAGTGATATGTTGTATGTGATGTGAGATTGAATGGTATTTCTGGGCAGCAGATAGGGTCAGTAACCAAGTGGTTACTGACATGTCAGTAATGAATAGGGACCATAGATCTAAGAGGCAGGCAATCGTGTGGTTGGGCTGGACGCTGAGTGGGGAAAGGTATTTTTGTCCGTTTATACATTAAATTTTTTATTTTATTTTATTTCGTATTTAATTTTTTTTTACTATACTTTCAAAGAAGGAAAGAGAAATCACTTCTCTACAACTTTCTTTCTTCCTTCTTTCTTCCTTTTTCTCTCTCAATCTCTTTTCCAGATCCTCTCTCTTTCTCTCTTCCTTTTTCTCTCTCAATCTCATTTCTAGATCTAAATCTGCTCCCTTCTCTTCTTCTTTATTTTTTTTCCATGACGAATAAAAATTGGAGCCACTCTTTTTCATTGTATTTCTTCTCTTCATCATCTCGTTGGCCTCAATTTCGATCTTTCTCATTTTTCGGCATTTTGGTGTTCTTGATTGCGGAAGAGGAAATGAGAGGCGACACAAGACGATTTTTTTTTCTCTACCTCCTTCTGTTTTTTTCTTTTAGATAATATATATTGATATTATAACTCTATATCATATGGTATTCGGTAGTAACGAAATATATATTGATATTACCACACTATACCATATGATAATGTATGGTATTGTGTGGTAACGAATTATATATTGATATTACCACATTATAACATATGGTATTGTATGGTATTGTGTGATATTACCACACTATATCATATGATATTATGTGGTAACGAAATATATATTGATATTACCACACTATACCATATGGTATTGGGTGGTAACGAAATATATATTGATATTACCACACTATACCATATGGTATTGGGTGGTAAGGTAATATATATTGATGTGACAAATTTTTTCATACCATATGGTATGGTCAATACCAGTCAATACCATATGGTATAGACTGGTAATAACTGACAAATTTTTTTATGTCAAAAAAATATCAAAGTGGATATCATTTTGAAGAGCACAATTAATCTGATCTAACTGTGCAAAAAAAATTAAATTCCGACTTAAAACGAGTGAGAAATCGTCCGTTAAAAATTAAGAGAAGGAAAATTAAAGGTTTTTCGAGGAGAGAGAATGCGCTGATGTGATCCGGTCAAAAGTCAGCGTTAGCAATAAATAGAGGTAGGAGCAATTTTACCTTATTGTCCTTTCGCATTTAATTTAAATAAAAAAAAAGGACTGACACGTGGCGACAAGAGAAGAGGTTACTGATGGGTTACTGACCCATCAGTTACTGACCTGATCTGGTCCCGTCTTTCTGTCGGACTTCGAGTCCGATATGATTGTTCATTTGGTAATAGAAAGAGTAATTCAATCCATAATAATGTACCTGAAATTATAACATTTTTGTTACTAAACCAACCACCAGGAGAGAAAAAAAACAACACCAAATATACTAATCAATAAGATTAGTGAAGTAACAATTAGGGTAACGTCTATATTTTGATTCTTTTATATTATCCAAACCTATCGAAATACTAAAAATTAACCAAATGTTAACTTTCAGTTAGTACTTTTGTTAGTAATATTGACTTGGCAACATGATACTCACTTGGAAGAGACACATGAAGGTCAACATTCCAAAATTTAGTATTTTAACTAAGAAAAGAGTTACAAAATTATTAAACGATAACGTAAAAATGACTAATATTTTGATGTATTATAAAAGATTTGGTTAATTAATAAAAATTTAATAGGTTTGGATAATATAAAAGAATTTGAAAAAGATTTGAATAAAAAATATACATTACACTAACAATTAATACGAAAACAATCGGTTGGAAAGCAATAGTCTTTAACAATGTGTATCATATTTTTTGGGTGTTGATTGTGGACAGCTTCTACAAAGCTCTTGGATCATATCATTTACACATATTTTTGCGCAAATCGAATTGAATTGAGTCTTGTAGATGTGATGACAAAGTTTGGTTACGATTGTACGTCTGGATAAAGGATATGTTCCTCTGATTCGACATCGGTGGTCAACTTGGTTGAACTTGATAGGACTAACCAGCTTTACGTGCGAGCCCAACTTACATTTCTTTGTTAAGTTTGTTTTTGGGTTGGCCGTTATGTATTTCTAATTTCCTCCGTATAAAACAATGGTAATTCTTATGGAGGATCGAAGTAGCTAAATGCTAAAATTCAAAGAGTTGAACGACAACTGGTAAGTGTCTCTTAGTGATAGTAGCAAATAAATAGGAATGAATTCTTTCTTCCTAGAACGAATCTTGATGCGAAATTGAATCTGTTCTAATTCAATTTAAGTTCTCGAAATTTGGTCTCATAAATCTCTAAAATTAATTCAATAAACCCCTAAACATAACTCAATATATCATTATTTACTATACTAGTTTTCATTGCCCGCGCTCTGCGTGTGGATTTATGTTGCAAGTAGGATCACATCTTTGACATTTATGTTATTACTCTGATGATTTTGGTATAACGGGTTTTTTATGCAAATTACGTGATAAAATTGATTAAAAAAATAATTTTTACCAAAAAGTATATTTTGTAAAGTAACTAATATTAGACTCACTTCAATTGTATTCGTTTCTAATTTACACTTTAAAAAGTCCATAAATAATGTAGCACCAGCACATCTTGCTTGGTATTAGATCCACTTATCATATTGGCAACGTATTGATTTATAAAACTTGAATGGAGATGGCAAGAACCGCAAGAATATACCAGCTACATTCAGAATTCAAAGTAATGGTACAGTAAATTTCAAATTACAGGTTAAGAATATACACGATACTTGCAGAAGGAATTAGTTGTGGATACTAAATGGAAGTGACCAGTTTCCTTTCCTATACATTCTTAGATTACGATCACAAATCCCAAAATATTTACATGGGTTTGATACATCTAGACTAAACCAGAACCACCTCCACTTCTCCAAAAAGTCCATCCTACAATAAAAAGAAGTAAAACAATCAAACAAACTCCAATATGGAGAATAAGAGAAAACATCTTATTTATGAAAAAGAGAGAACACTATACAACAACCTGAAAGTAAGCAAAAGCCAAGGCTACAATCAGTCTCATCTCCTACCACCAAATTGGACACTTGTTCACTATGGAAACCAAATCATCCCCAGGTCTAATGATTTCTCGCTGAGAGTCGATCACTACCCCTGCCTACTCATTTCCACAATGATACCTCGAACGAAAAGAGACCAAACTGATGGAAGTAAGAGAGGAAGAGCCCAAGCAAGTATGCAGAGAGAACAAACTCACCATGGAAACAATATTACCTGAAACCTTAACGAAATTTACAGATCTGAAGTTCTTGGAAACCTCTATGTTTCTCAAATCCATTGACCAATCCAATAGCAGACTGCGAATACCAGCCAGTCAGTCCCCTGCTCTTGCTACCTTTTAGCTCAACTTCGACTTCCACATAAATAAATGAAAGTAAAATTGACGACTCCATCTACTCCTAAAAGAGCGATCAAACAAAATATAGGAGCAAGAAAGATATACAAATACAACAAACCCATGAAAGGCAACAGATAGAACAAAACCATAGTAAAACCTACGGATCTGCCTCCCCTCCGAATTTGCTCTCTGCAAACCTCAAATCCAATTGCAAACCTAGAAGCGGTTGATGGAAAAGAAGACAAATCAATGAACTCCGATCCATCACGAACTTTTTTTTTTTTTTTTTTTATTATCATCTCTGGAGTGGAAAATTTCTGGAATCGGACGAACTCAACACCCAACAGCATCCAAAGAAGAACTTACCAAAGGGAGTCTCGCAGCTGAATGAATTATCAAATTTATGCAGAGGTCGGGTCCTTGTCTTTCTCGGGGAGGCTATAGTTGTTGAATAAAACTATGAAAAGAGATCAAACCACCCTTTCTGCAAGAAAGAGAGAATGAACCAAGTGAAAACATAGAGGAGACAAAAAATTCGACGAACAATCACCTGAAGCCATAAATGAAACAAGCCGATCTTGAGTTTTCTGGTTTCTCCCTGATCCTCCCAACCCGTCGCTTCTTGAGTTTTCTGGTTTCTCCCTGATCCTCCCAACCCGTCGCTTCTTGAGTTTTCTGGTTTCTCCCTGATCCTCCCAACCCGTCGCTTGACCGCTTCTAGCCCCGGTCATCTCCTCGGAAGAAAGAACGGAGACGTGGGTTTGTAACCACCAAGCCAAAATGGAACCGTCCCATCACGAGCTGCCTGGTTCCTCTCTGATCCACCCAAACCCGGCGCATGATCGCAATGGCAGAGATGAGAAGATAGAGGTAGGGAGAGAGAGAGGGAGAGATACTTGAGTCTGTTTGCGGATTCTCTACTTTCAGTGGAATTTATTTAGGGCTCTATAGAAAAAAAAACTTTTATCAGTGGAGCTAACATTGGGGATTGAACCGGGTTAGGTGAAACTAATGGATAGAAAATAAAAGGGAGACGTGGGTTTGTATCCACCAAGCAAAAAACTGGGAAATAGAAAAAGCCGTCCCCAATCACCATCTGTCAGTTTCTTCCAGTCTCGTCGAAGCACCATCTGAATCCCATTAATCGCTGAGAGTGAGAGATCAACGCGGGTGAGGGGCAAGGAAAGTATTCCAAACAACGAATTCCTCGACCAGAGGGACAACCCCAGTTCAAACGGAACCAAACTGTGACAATCCCATCCAGAACCAATTAGTGTTCCCCTGCACCCGCCCACACCATAGTCCTATCCGAGTTGTAACAGTGTTTATGAGTCTGCATGTGCAGTAAAAGCACTCTTGGTGCACAGGGAATGGATCTGCTGGGGGTTTTCTTTTTTCAATTTTATTTATTAGGAGTATAAGTGAATAAGAATATTTAAAAAAATGTTATACTCATACTCATCAACCGTCAAAAAAATATTAACAATAATAATTCCACACAATTGAGCTTCCCAAAGAAGCTCCAAAATATCTACACAATCATCTCATCTCATCTCGCACACAGCAGATTGAGCAACACATGACACAGCATAACATCCACAAAATACTGGTGCCCAATCAACCCATCCTTCCACCTCTCCTTGGCCGGCGGCCGCCCGTAATGTATCCCGTCGCTACACCGGTTGTCGTAATGCCAGGGAAACGTCATGTCGAAGTCATCCACCACGCCGTCGATCACCCCGGCGCTCCTAAACTTGTCCAGCACCACCCAATTAAACACCTCCATCTTGTTCGGATTGTACTGCAGCACCCTCGCTCCCCCTGCAGTCGCCACCGTCGTCCTGTACACCACCCTCGGCCTCGCCAGCCCCCTCCGGCTCACCGACTCCAACACCTCCTTCCAGAAATCCGCCGCGTCTTGGGCTGCGCCGACGAATCCCCTGACATTCCGCCAGTGGGATCCGTCGTGCAAGCCCGAGTTCAGTATCAGCGTGTCCGGCACCGTTTCACCGCCGAAGTACCCTTTCAGCAAATCCCTAAACCCTTGGTTTCTCAGGGAGTCTAGCCCCAGATGGTTGTCCGTCTCGTTCCAATGGCCGTTAAAAATGCTCGTGATCCTGACGGTTTGGGACGCGTCTTCAGGGTTCGTGAAGTTCGAGTCGAATCTTCGGGGAACGGATTTCACATCGGTCAGGTTCAGCACGAAGTTGAGCAGGTTTCTGATTGTGTCGACGTGGTTGGAATCTCCGGAGAAGAAGATCCACCTGTTCTTGAGGCAGTTCCACGCCGAATTGCGCTGAAAGAGTTGGAAGGAGCAGTGAGTGGAGTAAACCCATCCGTTGCTCTCCAATGTGCCTAATGAGCCGTTGCACCAGGGGTTCCGGCAGGGGAAATCCGGCGGGAGACACAGGTACCGCCCGTCGTCGCTGATCCGGCAGCTGTCGTTCTTGCCGTGCCTGGTCCATCTCCCGACCGATAAATCTCTGGTGAAATCGGATTCGCTGCAGGTTTTCAACTGTGGTAATTCGGCGGCGTTGCTTGTTGTGACGAATTTGATTCGGAGGCTTCGCAGTGTCTGGACGACGGCGGATCTGGTCGGCAGGAATTTGAGACCATCGAAGTGGCGGTAGAGGAGGATGAGAGTGAGGAGGTAATCGCCGGTGAAATCGGGGTGTACTTGGAGGGTGATTGAGTAAATTCCGTTTCCCAAGTCTTTCACCGGAGGACGAGATTTCCATGACTCGCCAGAGAGGTCCGACTCGAAGTAATCCCCGCCGGAGTACCGAGGGTTTCCGAATTCGTCCACCGCCTGGAAGACCAAGACGTGAGCATCTCCGGCGGTCAGCTCAACGACACCCTTGTCGTTGTCGAGACCCGGAATCATAATCTCCGCCGTTGGTTTATTGTTGCCACCGGGAGCCTGCAATCGGGAGAGGATGGCCGAAGTGAAATTCGGCTCGAGCTCCACCGTCGCCCATTTCGCACCACCGCCGCGGCGGCCACCGGGATTCATGGTCAGGTATAGCTGCTGCTTGAAACTTGAAGAAGACTCGATGATGCTGCTAACAGTAGAGGCGTCCATGTTCCAAACAATCAGCAAGCCCAGGAAAACCAGAGCAGTGCAAAATCTGAACCGCCATTGCTGCTGCCGTGGGCTCACCAGGGAAAGCCACGGTAACGGCGGGGACTTGGATGTCGGAGAGTTGGCTCCTTTCTCCTGCATGTCTGCAGTGTAGAAAAAGATAGAGCAGCAATTTGGGGGGAATCAATTCAAATCAAAGGTCGGGAAACTGGGAAGAAGAAAAATTGTTTTGAGAACGGAGTTAAGCAGAGTCCGTCTGATTCAATGCATTATATTAGTGAGAATCATCAAAGAGCTTCCTCCTGATGTTCGAATTTCCCTTTCATCTACTTATTATTTGTCGTTACTGCGTTTACTCCTCGATAAGGAATAGCAAACACATTTTTTCTATTATGTAATTTGGCAGAGACGGAGAATTCGATATCACAATTCACAAGACCTTTCATTCACATCACATTTATGGTCTGGTCCGGTACAAGAACTGAGCAATTTGGCTCCAATGCTGAATCCACCTTCATCGCCGGAAGTCCCGTCGCTCCATTTCCGGCTCAAAGGAGATCTCTGAGCGTACATATAACCACAAGATTGGCATACCAATACCAGGCTTTGCCTTACACTTCTTGAGTTTCTTACGCTGCTTTACACCTCCGATCACACCACATGAACCATTACTACCCTAAAACATGAGAGCCATTAACAGCCCATATGTACCTAAACACAAAGATATTAACAGCATACCTAAATCAATAGAACTCTCTGTCTGGGAAAAGCAATGGGGCTACGAGAGTCCATACGTAGAGCCCAGCTGTGACCCACTCGGTGAAGATCCGAACCCAGACGGAGGTCCAACCGACATCGATTAGGTCTGCACTCTCGGTTGAGCTGGTCCATCCAGAAAGCAGCATGGCTGAGTACATGCTAGCCAGTGCAAAGATGAGGTGGAAGAACGAGTAGGAGTAACTAACAGGGCGGGGGTACTCAGCTTCTTTCCCCTTCCCCTTTCCTTCTTCAACGTCTTCGTCTCCTCCAAGCAAAGGTTTGTTTCCGGCTGATGCCCTGGGGGAAGTTGGTGGAGATGGGGACAAGAAAGTTGTCGAGGACCCAGCACGAAGGGCAGAGTATAGCACCGAAAGAACCGTCGTGAACATTCCAAGCACAAGTGTTCCTATGGTGACTGCCTTCGACTTGTTGAGTCCATTGCAAGCATAATCATGGGGTTCACTTGATAGACCCGTGTAGCAAATGTAGGCACAGTAAATTGATATCACTGAAGCTGGTAATAGGCTGCCATTCACCTGCCAAAAATGATTGAAAAGGATGTAACTTCCAGATTCACATTGCAATTAGCCGATCACATAAGATTCGAGAACAGCTAACGAGATCAAATATCCTTTTTTTACCGCGGGATGAAGTGCAATCACAGCAAACGAGAAAGCAAGAACCATGGTCATAATGATGAAGAAGATATTGAGGCCACAATCATTGCTAGATGGATTGAACCATATGAATAGAATCCCAGATAGCCCGAAAGCTCCGAGGTAGCATCCGATTGATATAACAAGTAAAGCAATATACCTAGGAGCAAGAAATTTCCGACATTAGGTTCAAAGAAAGCAAAGATCAAAGGAGCTATCAAGACATGGAGACTTACCACTTGTGTTCATCTTTCTCAACCCATGCATCATTCCATCTGTGTGTGAAATCCAGTAGCATAATCACTTGAACCAACAGAAACAGCCCTGCTCCGAATTTTGACAGAACCCCTGAAAGTATGTTTCAAGTCATCAACAAAATTCAAACCCACCCTTGGGTTTGGACTAGAAATGTAGTAACTGCAATCCAAGCTCCCAGGAAAGTCGAATAGCGCAACGACTAACCATAGATGGTAACTAAGATGTTCGGAACGAAGAACATGAGCACCATGAGCACAAGCCAGATGACAATCTTGGCCATCCATCCACCATGATGCACGGCATCACGTTTATCATTCTGGTCCTTCACTCCGATCATTATCAGAGCAAGAATCGCAAAGAAGAGGAAATTTCCTAAGCTCACTCGCAGCACCGCTTGCATTTGAAACCATTCTTTCGACTGCGTATCAGACGAGTTAATCCCTGCACAACAAAAGATTCCTATAATCAACAAAAGTACTATCAAGCCAGACCGATTCAACTACCTTTACCAATCAATCGCAAATCAAAGCTCAAGGAAATTTCAAAAGGAAGGGGTAAAAAACCTTTCTTCCCTCCAATTGAAGCTCGAATTAGAGAATCAAAACTAGGGAACCGCGTTCAATAAATCTCCAAAACAAAAACAAAAAAAATGAAGGAAAAGAGAAATCCCAACCGTGAGGTATCTAATCAAGAGTCGATGACCGAAATTAAATTGAGTTAGTGGTGGTAGTGAAGGGGAAGGGGGAACTGACAGGGGAATTTCTCCAAAAGGGGGCCGCCAACTTCACGGAAAATCCAGGAGACGACGAGGGAGAAGCCGAAGAGAGCGCAGTAGGCGATCCGAGCCGATTTCTTGGAGATGCCGGAGGCAACCGACGAGCAGAGACCACAGGTGAGGGAAGCGCAGCACATGGGAATGCATGCCAGGCACGACATCTTCTCTTCTCGCTGGAATCCTCCTTTTTCCTCCTCCGCAGGCTCTCTGGTCTTTCTGTCTTTAGAAAGAAGGAAGAGGAAGAAGCCGATAAGGAAAATGAGCAAAGTATAGATTGGTGAAACGTTTCGACTTTGTACTATACAACACAGAATGGGTACAAATGGTAACAACGAATTTCTGCGTTTCAGATTATTTTTATCACATACAGTAAAAGATTAATTAGTGCCTTATTTGTCAACCGATTTATACGGTTACGTCAGTTTGACAAGCGATGTAGTTTAACTGATAGCCCAACTAATTTATACCAATTCATATTTGTTTTAACAAAATATGTAGGGAAGTGAAGAGTCATTAACATTAAGGCATTGTTTGCTTATAGGATTTAGGTGATGGATTTGGAACCTAAATTCTAAATATCATGTATTTATTTGACACAAATACATTGTTTGTCGAAGTATATAAATCCACGGGGCCCACAAATTTGGACTATTTTTAGATCCAAATACGTAAACCCACTCATTTACAAATACTACATTCTATTTGGTATATGGTTATAGTTGGCACAATTTGAGACGTATGGTACAAAAACCTTTATAAAAAACTAATTAAACAAATTATGTACTCATTTGAATTCATAAAGCAACAAGTCATAATAAATAATAAATACATAGAGAGGATATATCTGATGAATACGCAAGATAATCAACCCCTCCTTAAAAAAAAATGCTCTGTACTAGCGACTCTCTACTGGAGCTTTTGGCGCCCGACCTGCCAGCTGCAGGACGACCGCCAGACCATAATCCCTCCTCTCTGACCCCCACTAAGCGCCCTCCAAACGGCACTGGCAGCCCTCCCGATGCCAGCCAACGCGATGAGCTATAAATCTGCCCTTGCCGGAGCCAACCATGACCACCAATCCAACGACAATCTATTGACGTTCGTAGGCGACAAAGATTTTAACCATGGGGAACATGCAGGGGGAACCAGCACAAAAAGTGTCGCTACAATTTAAGGAGCGGTTAAGCAACCCCTGGAAGAATACGCTGGTGGTGCGTTTACAGGGCCGATCAGTAGCCTACTCCTATCTATGCTCACAACTCCGCTGGATGTGGCGGTCAAAGGGAAGGCTTGAAATTATTGATATGAACAACGAGACGTTCTTGGTGACGATCAACAACGAGCAAGACTATCTACACGCTCTAACGGGTGGCCCGTGGGCCATTCTAGACCACTACCTTGTAGTGCATCAATGGTCCTCCACTTTCAAGACATCCGACAAACCTTACAAATTGGTGGTAGCGTGGATCCAATTGCCGGAGTTGCCGGTCCATTTTTATCATCGGGAAGTGCAATTTGCAATCGGGAACCTTCTAGGTCGGACAATGAAACTAGACTACCATACGGAGCGCTTGGAAGAGGAAAATTCGCGAGAATTGCCGTGGAGTTGGACCTGTCAAAATCGCTGGCCAATCGCATATTCTTGGATGACTTATGGCAATCGGTATAGTATGAAAACATACCCATCATATGCTATGATTGTGGCTGCATCGGGCATACAGAAGAAACGTGCCCAAAGGCGATGCTAACGAGAAGCCCAGTCGTGACTGATAATTTTCCAATCTCACTAGGAACAACGATCGCGGACTCGCCGGAGGAACCTCCTTCCAGTTACGACCCGTGGATGCAAGTATCAAGGAAATCTCGGCGTCCCAACCGGAAATCAAGCCTAGGTTAGCCGAACCAACAGGAAAAGCCAGATCAGGGGGACAAAAATCTCGCGCAAACGGCTACTAGTACAAATGGTAAGGGGAAAATGGAGCAAGGATCAGTTTCGGTAGCCCACGAGGAGAAAGGAAAAGTGGATATGAAGGCTGGAACAAAAAAAAGTTAACTCCCATAAAGGGCAAAACGTCAAGCAGTGAGGATTTGACTTCGAGTTGGACCTGTCAGAACCATTGGCCACTCATATATTCTTGGATGACTTCTGGAAATCGGTAAAGTATGAAAACATACCCATCATATGCTATGATTGTGGCTACATTCGGTGTACAGAAGAAACGTGCCCAAAGGCGATGCTAATGAGAAGCCCAGTCGTGACTGATAATTTTTCAATCTCACCGGGAACAACGATGGCGGACTCGCCGGAGGAACCTCCGGCCGGTTACGGCCCGTGGATGCAAGTCTAGAGGAAATCTCGGCGTCCCAACCGGAAATCAAGCCTGGGTCATCCGAACCAATAGGAAATGCCGGATCAGGGGGACAAAAATCTCGGGCGAACGGCTACTAGTACAAATGGTAAGGGGAAAATGGAGCAAGGATTATTTTCGGTAGCCCTCGAGGAGAAAGGAAAAGTGGATATGAAGGCTGGAACCAAAAAAGTTAACTCCCATAAAGGGAAAACATCAAGCAGTGAGGAATTGTTGTGGAGTTGTATCTGTCAAAACTTCTTGCCACTCGCATATTCTTGGATAACTTCCGGCAATCGATAAAGTATGAAAACATACCCATCATATGCTATGATTGTGGCTGCATCGGGCATACAGAAGAAACGTGCCCAAAGGCGATGCTAACGAGAAACCAAGTCGTGACTGTTAATTTTCCAATCTCACTGGAAACACTGATCGCGGACTCACCAGAGGAACCTACGGCCGGTTACAGCCCGTGGATGCAAGTGTCGAGGAAATCTCGGTGTCCCAACCAGAAATCAAGCCTGGGTCAGCCGAACCAACAGGGAAAGCTGGATTGGGGGGACAAAAATCTCGGGCGAACGGGTACAAGTACAAATAGTAAGGGGAAAATGGAGCAAGGATCAGTTTTGGTAGCCCGCGAGGAGAAAGGAACAATGGATATGAAGGCTGGAACAAAAAAACGGTAACTCCGATAAAGGAAAAACGTCAAACAGTGAGTAATTGTCGTGGAGGTTGAACTGTCAAAACCGTTGCCACTCGCTTATTCTTGGATGACTTCTGGCAATCGGTAAAGTATGAAAACATACCCATCATATGCTATGATTGTGGCTGCATCGGGCATACAGAAGAAATGTGCCCAAAGGCGATGCTAACGAGAAGCCCAGTCGTGACTGATAATTTTCCAATCTCACCGGGAACCGATCACAGACTTGCTGGAGGAACCTCCGGCCGATTACGGCCCATGGATGCAAGTCTCGAGGAAATCTCGACGTCCAAACTGGAAATGAAGCTTGGGTCATCCGAACCAACAGGGAAAGCCGGATTATGGGGGACAATAATCTCGGGCGAACGGTTACTAGTACAAATGGTAAGGGGAAAAAGGAGCAAGGATCAGTTTTGGTAGCCCGCAAGGAGAAAGGAAAAGTGGATATGAAGGCTGGAACAAAAAAAGGTAACTCCCATAAAGAGAAAATGTCAAGCAATGAGGAATTGCCGTGGAGTTGGACCTATCAAAACCGTTGGCCACTCGCATATTCTTGGATGACTTCTGGCAATCGGTAAAGTTTGAAAACATACCCATCATATTCTATGATTGTGGCTGTATCGGGCATACAGAAGAAAAGTGCCCAAAGGCGATGCTAACGAGAAGCCCAGTCGTGAATGATAATTTTCCAATCTCACCAGGAACAGCGATCGCGGACTCGCCTGAGGAACCTCCCGCAGGTTACGCCCCGTGGATGCAGTTCTCGAGGAAATCTCGGCGTCCCAACCGGAAATCAAGCCTGGGTCAGCCGAATCAACAGGGAAATCCAGATCAAGGGGACAAAAATCTCGGACGAACGGCTAGTAGTTGATGAGGTCATCAAAACCAAGTCCATTTCGTCACAAGAAGGGCCAATTACACGTGTACAAGCAAAGAGGTTAAGGAAGGAGTTTGCTGCCTATTTGGATTGTCACTTTGCTCAAATGGACGTGGATCATCCTCAAGGGAAGACCATTACATTGCTACAACTCGTGGGCCAGCATGAAGGAAGAATGGGCTTGGAAGGAGAAGAGGATTCGGCTAAGGAAGAGGAGGGGAGTCTCAAGTGTGAAAAAGATCAAGGTGGGAACACAAGGGAAGGCTAGAATCTAGGGAGTTGTTGACCAAGTCTTTTACTTGTCTTTTAAGGATTGTATTTTCCTTTTACTTGTCTTTTAAGGATTGTGTTTTTTCCTTTTACTTGTAGGATTTGTTTTTCATTTTCAGCTTTGGATTTGTGTTAGCTAGTCTATAAATAAGAGGTTGAGTTCCTCATTGTAACTCATTCAATTATCAATCAACTTTCAAGTTACAAGTTCATACGAACTAGTTCTTTGCGCAAGCTTCTATTGAGAGTGCTCCAGGAGTTTCACGTGTCTCTTATCAACTAGAGAACACGTCTAGTTGTGGCGAGCTTCTACCCAATAGCGATTGACCTTATTCACGAGTGGGTGATTGTTTGATTGGTTTCATATACCAATTGGCCTTTCACACGAGTTGGAATCTGTTTGATCGTGTTCCATCATTATCTATTGTTCGAGTTCTTGTTCATTGGAGAAAAGCTTCAAAACCCATAAAAGTAGGAAAGCTGCGTACTTTGGTCACATCAAGTGGTATCAAGAGCCCGGTTCAAACGCAACAGAGAAGAAGAAGGTTCTTTGGCAATCTTGTCGTGTTCTTGAAGGTTTTGATGTGATCGTGAAGGATCTTGGAGGAGTCTTTACGTTCTTGAAGGTTCTTGCGAGCTATCTTGAAGGAGTAATTAGTGCCGCAAATATGGGAGACGAGATCAAGGCATTGACTGATCAAATCCAAGCGTTACTTCAAGCACATACCACCAGCCAGATGGAGATTCAAGCGGCGCTACAAGCTCAAAACGCAAGAATGGAAGCTTGGGAAACACGGATGCAAGCACCACCAAACCCTAACCCTAATGTTGCTACTGAAAGGGCTAGGAGGGAAGAAGAAGATCTTGGAGAGAGAAGGGTGGTACAACGACCCGTGTTCGAACATGCTAGGCGACATCGGCCAATGGGTGGACATGTTGCAAGACGAGGCCAACCTCGTGATGAAGAGGTCGAATATGAGGATGACGAGGGTTACCCTCGAGATGAAGATGATGATTTGAGGAATATTAAGGTCAACATACCATCGTTCAGAGGTTCTACTAATCCCGAAGCTTACCTAGATTGGGAACGAAAGATGGAATTGATCTTCGATTATAACAACTATTCTGAGAGGAAGAAAGTACAAGTGGCAGCACTCGAGTTTACGGATTATGCCATTGTGTGGTGGGATCAATTAAGCATGAGGAGGAGGAAGAATAGACAGCCGCCTATTGAGACATGGGCAGAGATGAGAACTGTAATGAGGGATCGATTTATGCCTAGTTCTCATCGTAGAGAGATGCATCAAGCCCTACAACTTCTGCGCCAAGGTACCAAGAGTGTAGAGGATTATTACCGCGAGATGGAGATGCTAATAATTCGAGCGGATTTGGAGGAAGATCGTGATGCTACCATTGCACGACTCTTATATGGGCTTAATCGAGAAATTAGAAATGTGGTGGAACTTCATCCCTATGCGGATCTATACGATTTGGTTGCAATAGCAGCCAAAGTGGAGAAACAACAACATAGTAACGTTGGGAGGAGATTCACGCCGCCATAAGCAGCACCAAGGCCAGGAACGCCTTCAACTTCAAACCCTAGGCTAGCCATAACGAAGCCAGAAGAATCAAAACAGGCAGCCAATGTTGAAGCACCAAGAGACAAGCCACAGGCTCTAGTGTAGGCATTCAATGCTTCAAATGTCATGGAAGAGGGCATATGGCCAACCAATGCCCTAATCGAAGAGCTCTAGTCCTACTAGAGAATGGTGAATATGTCTCAGATTCCGAAGAAGAGGAGCACGCGAAGGAGCCATCAGAATATGAAGTTGACGAATCAATGGAAATGGAGCCCCCTCCCGGAAGTTTGCTTGTCACGAGAAGAATGCTAAGCGTGCAACCCAAAGAAGACCTCGAGCAAAGGGAGAACCTGTTTCATACGAGATTTGTAGTGGATGGGAAGCTGCTCGCCGTGGTGATTGATGGCGGAAGTTGCACTAACGCTATTAGTACCATAGCAGTTAGCAAACTGGGATTGAGTACAATCAAGCATCCCAAACCCTACAAGCTTCAATGGCTCAACGAGGATGGTTCAATTAAAGTGGCGAGGCAAACTCTTCCGAAATTTGCCATTGGAGGATATAAGGACGAAGTTCTGTGCGACGTAGTACCTATGCAAGCTACACACATCCTACTTGGAAGGCCATGGCAGTTCGATAGAAGCGCGCAACACGATGGAGTCTCAAACAAGTATCAAGTGTTACAAATGGAAAGAAAATCGTGTTAAAGCCCTTGACTCCCAAGGAAGTATATGAGGATCAACGACAACTCCAAAGAAACCGGGAGAAAGAAGCTATTGTCGTGGAACAGAAGCAAGGAGGAGAAGATTGCAAGTCAATGATGATAACACGAAGTGGAGACGTGAAGCAAGCTATGAATCATGGTGACTCCATGATCATGATCGTCTACAAGGAAGCCCTACTGAATCAAGAGCTTGTTCAAGATATACCACCTAGGGCACGAGTGGTATTAGAGGAATTTGAAGATTTCTTTACAGAAGAAGCTCCCAAGGGTTTACCTCCAATTCGAGGGATTGAACATCAAATCGACTTTGTTCCTGGGGCTACTATTCCAAACAAGGCAGCCTATAGAATGAACCCAGAGGAAACAAAGGAATTACAAAGGCATATTGAAGCGCTTATGGAGAAAGGACATGTTCGAGAGAGTATGAGTCCTTGTGCGGTTCTAGTCATTCTTGTGCCAAAGAAAGATCATACACAGAGGATGTGTGTTGATTGCCGAGCAGTCAACCAAATTACTATCAAGTATCGTCATCCCATACCACGATTGGATGACATGCTCGATGAACTACATGGATCAAGTTTATTTTCAAAGATCGATTTGAGGTCCGGCTACCACCAGATTCGAATGAAAGAAGGAGATGAATGGAAGACAGCGTTCAAGACGAAGCACGGATTATACGAGTGAATGGTGATGCCTTTCAGTCTTACAAATGCTCCAAGTACGTTCATGAGGTTGATGAATCACGTGTTGAGAGCTTTTATTGGGAAGTTCGTGGTAGTCTACTTTGATGATATTCTGATCTATTTAAAGAGTATGGAGGAGCATCTTGATAATTTGTGAGAAGTGTTGAAGACTTTGAGGAAGGAGAAGCTCTATGCCAATCTTAAGAAGTGCACGTTCTGTACTTCGAATGTGGTATTTCTGGGATTCGTAGTAAGTGCAAATGGTGTCGAGGTTGATGAAGAGAAGGTGAAAGCAATTCAAGCATGGCCAACCCCTACCAACGTGAATGAAGTGAGGAGTTTTCATGGGCTGGTTGGATTTTATCGACGATTCGTCTCAAATTTCAGCACTATTGCGGCCCCATTGACTTCAATTATCAAGAAAAATGTGACGTTTCATTGGAGTGAGGATCAAGAGAAGGCATTCCAGCAACTCAAGTACACTACAAAAAAGCGTGCCATTAGTGACCAGAGGTTTACGTCGTCGGTAAAGGCCAAATTTCGTCGGAAATGGGATTTTGCGACGACATGAGGCTGTCGAGCGCCGTTCCAAATACGAGCGTCACAAAAGCTTTCTTCGTGACGAGTCGTCGTAAAAGCTATTTTGCGACGGGTTGGAGTCATCTCTAATGCCTGTTCAAATTGGCGAACTACCCAGTTTTTGTTTTTGTGACGACAAAGAATCGTCAGAAAAATTAACAATCTCGTCAGTAATAAATTCTCATTGACGACGATTGACGACATTGTCCGTTTTTCTGACTAGATATAGTCGTCGCTATTATAAAAAAAGTCATCGATAATACTTTTTTTGACGACGTAGCCTATTTATGACAATACATATCCGTCTCTATAATAAATAAAGTCACAGGTAATACATTTTTTAGGACGACTTTTAACGATATTTGGGACAATTGAACATCGTCACAAATATTATATTTACGACGAACGAGAGATATCACAAATAAGGATTCCAATATTTGCGACGTTGCTAACTTTTGACGAAAAAAATACTATTAGCGATGATATGTAGCTGTCACTAAATTATTTGGTTTGACAAAAAAATACAGTTCGCGATGATATGTAGCCGTCACCCAAATAAGTAGTTTGTCGAAAAAATATTGTTCTCGATGATATGTAGCCATCACTAATTTAATTAGTTTGACGAAAAGATACTATACTATTAGCGACGATATGTTTTCTTTCACTAGATTAATTATTTTGACAAAATATGGTTGTCAGAAATATGTGATTTGCAACAAAGAGACTATATTGACAAAACCAGGTAATCTAAAAAATTAAATATTCCAAATGTTATAAGTAATAATATTCTAAATGACCAATATTTGATAAACATAAAATAGAGAAATATGAATATGAAAACTAGTCCAATAAAAAAACAAAATATCAATCTTAATTATCTGAGTCATATTCTAAATTTTCATCTTCTTCTTCTTCATCTTCTTCTCCTCCTTCTCCTCCTCCTTCTTCTTCTTCTTCTTCTCCTTCTTCTTCATCACTGTTGTCTTCACCACTTTCATCTCCACTTTGGCTGGTCTTGTTAACCTATTAAACATTAACAAGAATAAGATTAAGAAAGAATTCTATAGGTAAAAATAGTACGAATTGTAACATGTTTCATACCGTTATACCAAACTGCATCAAGGCAGCTTGAACAAGCTGAGGAACTGAATTTTCAACCGATACTATCTTTTCTTGCAATTCTTTGATGACTGTATCACTCTTTTCTTTTTCTTTTATGCGATCTTCTTGGCAGCGTTTACTACAACCATCTGTTGAGGCATAGCCATAAACATCTTCTGCTGTGACTCCCAAACCCATCCCAAGTACTCGACCTTTGCGTGGCTCCCCAACAACCGGGCGATATATGTCCCAATGATTGGGTTCTTCACCTTTAGCCCGAGCCTCAACAACTCTTTTTTCCATCTCATCCTGAAAGCACCATACATCATTAACAAGACTATAGAAAGCAACATACGTAACGAGGCAATAGGACATATAAAGATAAAAGACAAAAACCATACATTAATCTCTTGAGCCTTTGGGGTACTGAACTCTTTGTTCTTTTTCATGTGCTGCCGTTTCCATAGATCCATTGGAGTTGGCTCTTGTCCAGTTGTCTTTTTCTGCAAAGGAACAACTAAACTTAGAGTCGATAGTACAAAAATTAAAGGTGCAATATAAGTTCATGACAGATAAATACCATATCAGATCTATATTTTGCCGCTGGTACAGAACCACCTGTTGAAATCAACTCACTTTTGGCTCTATTTTGCTTATTTTTCTTACTTATCTCCTACAACAATGAATGGATAATAATTAGAATAATAATGAAAACTAAGTGTTCAATTTAATCCTATGAATCGAATCATACCTTCTATGTCGGAGCATTCCATTTATCGACCATTTCCTTCCAAACAGAAGGAGCTATAGATGCAGGAGGATTCTTGTAGATATCACTCAATGACCTAAACTTGGAAAATACTTCATTTCGAAGGGCAAACATCCATTTCCATATTGCATCTTGACATAGTTTTTAACAGCTTGCTCCACTTCTTCTTCTGGAAGTGAACAGTTGAAGCCTGCTTCCTTGAAACGTGCATATAACGCATCCAATTCTTCTTTAGGAAACTGCGAGAATGTTGTCCATGGACCATTGATATGTTGGTGTAAGATTTTACTGATTTCATGAACAACCGGTGGTGTGATTATCTTGAAAATGGAATCAATGAAGATCAAATTATACAAAAAAAAAAACAGCCTATACAAACAACAGGCCTAGACAAAACAAGCAGAAACGTGCCCAGCAAAGCAAAAAATACAAAGGAGCACAAACGTGCCCAACAAAGCAAAAATACAAAGTAGCACCCAACAAAGCAAAATACAAAGCATAACAAAATACCAAATGCCAGCTACAGGGAATGAAATGTCTCACAGAAGATGCAAATTCCCTAGTCGGGGAAACATATAACATTTGACTAACAAAAATCACATAAAATGAAGAGCATGGACAAGAAACATACAAGCTGTCATCAATTATACAGACCTCTTATCATATATTTCAAGAGCTATGTTGTGCCTGGCTTAACTCCTTTGCCCTTGCCTCAAACTTTCTTACTCTTTGCGTTAGCTAAAACGAGGTACAAGGGCAATTAAGATTGATTTTGTTTAAATATAACTCAGTTGTGGACAATTAACATGTATTGTGATATTTACCAGGTTTACTACTTTCCCCAATTGATGGAGTAGTTGATCTTTCACTTGCAGGAGTCTCTGAAGATGATCCATTAGGCGTAAACTCTCCGTGTTCGGTCACAGCTTCCATCGATTCCACCCTTTCGCCCTCCCTCTCCTGACGCTTACGTTTCTGTCCAGCCTTCCCAACCTTGTGAGACTTCCCAGAATTCCTAAACTTCACTGAATTCCCTGACTTCCCCATCTACAAGCGCAACACAACTTTAATAAGGCTGGGATTAAAGCCAAAACGTAAGGGAGGAAACCAAAACAGAAAGAACTCCATAACCCATATGAAAGCCATACATAACCGTTCTGTTCCACCCTTTCGTGAACCCATAAAGCAAAAATAAAATAAAATGAAAACCCATAACCAAGGTTGTTTCTTCCCCTTGTTCAAGCACAAATGAAAACACGAAACTAATAAACCCATGTTCTGCTACTTCATCTTATTCAAACCCCCAGAAATCCAAAAACCAAATGAACCCTATAACTCAATCAAGTTGAAAGATTGACTGATTGCTATAAAAAGAATCAAAAATCACCTTGTGCAGAAATGGTTATATGAGACCTCATGACCCTTCTCACAAAAATAGTGAATCTGCAACACAACCAACGCTTTATAACATGATTAAATAGTGTAAAAGTGGATAATAGGAAAAACAGAGTACGCCGAATGAAAAAAAAGCCTGGGGTTTATGAGATTACCTTTAGAGTGTCTCGGACTAGCTTCTTCTTCTCATCCAACATTGATTTTATAATAACCCAGGATCTTAATCGTCTCCTTGGGAGAACTAATTCAATCGCCCGCCAATTTGTTGATTCCATTAGATTTATCCCGCCAAATCTCCCCAAATTCTAGCAACAGCCACGTTTAAAGTACTTCCCCCAAAAACCTCCGAATCGGGCGTGATACGAGAAAGAAAGAAGAGAGGAACGGATAGAGAAGGGAAGTAGATTTAGGTTTCTTCCACTGCTAGTCTGCTACGTGAGATATGTGGTTGGGATGACTAATGAGGAGATAATGATTTTATTTGATATTTTATATTAATGATTCACTTTATGTTTTCTATTAACTCCCTCTTTTCCCCTTTGGTTTCGTCTCTTGCAGAACTAAGGATGGGCCAAAGCAATGTACTGTATTTCTGTAAAAAAAAAGTAGAATAAATGTTTTCTATTGTATTGTATTTCACTTTTAATTTAATCTATGTATTTCTTCACAAGTAGATTAAAATTTCTTTAATGCCTTAAAATACAACTTGAACGAGGTCACAACTACAACGAATATCGACATTGTCTCCAGTACAAATGTCGTAATTATCTTGAAATATAACTCTGACTGAGTCGTCTAGGTTATGTACGCCAGTTGGATGGTGTAATTCATGTATACATCTCGGAATTCACTTCTATACATATATATGTTAAGATTTACTCCTATATAAAAGTCAGTTTGAGATCGCCTCTAGGACAAATGTCGTAATTACCATGAAATGTCACTCCGACGGAGTTGTCTAGGTTATGTACGCCAGTTGGATGGTGTAATTCATGTATACATTTCGGAATTCACTTCTATACATATATATGTTAAGATTTACTCCTATATACAAGTCAGTTTGAGATCGCCTCTAGCAAAAATGTCGTAATTACCGTGAAATGTAACTCCGACGGAGTCGTCTAGGTTATGTACGCCAGTTGGATGGTGTAATTCATGTATACATCTCAGAATTCACTTCTATACATATATATGTTAAGATTTACTCCTATATACAAGTCAGTTTGAGATCGCCTCTAGCACAAATGTCGTAATTACCGTAAAATGTAACTCCGACCGAGTCGTCTAGGTTATGTACGTAAGTTGGATGGTGTAATTCATGTATACATCTCGGAATTCACTTCTATACATATATATGTTAAGATTTAATCCTATATACAAGTCAGTTTGAGATGGCCTCTAGCACAAATGTGGTAATTACCGTGAAATGTAACTCCGACGAAGTCGTCTAGGTTATGTACGCCAGTTGGATGGTGTAATTCATGTACACATCTCGGAATTCACTTCTATACATATATATGTTAAGATTTACTCCTATATACAAGTCAATTTGAGATCGCCTGTAGCACAAATGTCGTAATTACCGTGAAATGTAACTCCGACGAAGTCGTCTAGGTTATGTACGCCAGTTGGATGGTGTAATTCCTGTATACATCTCGGAATTCACTTCTATACATATATATGTTAAGATTTACTCCTATATACAAGTCAGTTTGAGATCGCCTCTAGCAAAAATGTCGTAATTACCGTGAAATGTAACTCCGACGGAGTCGTCTAGGTTATGTACGCCAGTTGGATGGTGTAATTCATGTATACATCTCGGAATTCACTTCTATACATATATATGTTAAGATTTACTCCTATATACAAGTCAGTTTGAGATCGCCTCTAGCACAAATGTCGTCATTACCGTAAAATGTAACTCCGACGGAGTCGTCTAGGTTATGTACGTAAGTTGGATGGTGTAATTCATGTATACATCTCGGAATTCACTTCTATACATATATATGTTAAGATTTAATCCTATATATAAGTCAGTTTGAGATGGCCTCTAGCACAAATGTGGTAATTACCGTGAAATGTAACTCCGACGAAGTCGTCTAGGTTATGTACGCCAGTTGGATGGTGTAATTCATGTATACATCTTGGAATTCACTTCTATACATATATATGTTAAGATTTACTCCTATATACAAGTCAGTTTGAGATCGCCTCTAGCACAAATGTCATAATTACCGTGAAATGTAACTCCGACGGAGTCGTCTAGGGGCGGACCCTAAGGTAAGATAGTTCATCTCCTAAATGCGGCCTGGATAGCCTGTTGTATGGTTTTGATTGACGTGTAAATGGGTTCCGTTTGTGCTTTATGGGTTCAGATTTCACATAACAAATCGCGAGCAGAATAGACGTACTCAAAATAGTGGTGTGATGGTGAGATGGGAGAATTATGACAACATCCCTTATTATGGGACTCTTATTAAAGTCATTGAACTGTGATACACAGAAGGCCTTCGAGTTGTGCTTTTTCAGTGTGATTGGTATGATGTAACTCGTGAAGGCATTGGCTATAAGAAGGATCATCATGGTATTACTACCAACAATAAGGCACGACTATTGAATACTCTAGAAGCGTAAAAGCATAAGCTTTTAAGTTTTAAAGCACAATTTAGTCTGATTTTATACACTAATGATTTTATATGAAAACGAAAGCGTTTTGGTGACCTAGAAGTGTAAAATCGCAAGTCTTTAAGTTTTAAAATGCGATCTTGACTGCATTGATCTCAATTTTAGTTAATTGATTGATGAGCCCTTTTATAATTATTCATATGCTCAATCATGCTATGACCATCCTTATACTCCAACTTCACCAACCTCCGAACTAAATTGGCTTTATTACGAGGTGTTTTCTTTTGAATCATGGACTCAAGCTTAGTCCATAATTTATAAGCATTTGTGTAAGTAGAAACATGCTCGAAGATGGATTTGTCAATGTATTTAGGATCATAGCAACGACCTTCCGATTTAGAAGCTCCCACTAAGCATCACTCTTGCCTTCTACATTGTCTTTGTAGATGATGGGCTCATGTAAATCCTTGCCGTATAAATGATCCTCCATCATTGGCTTCCAATAGGAGTAGTTGTTTGTTGTGAGCTTGAACATGTCTCTATCATGAGTGACGTTGTCCTCCATCTTGAACAACACGAGCTAGTGATGGATTTTGATGAACCAGACTCTGATATCATTGTTCGAAAAAAAACCTCTCACTTTCCCGCTTTGTGAAGTTAAGATAGGCGCTTAGGAATTAAGATAGTAATGGGAACACACGAGTATAATTCTCCAATTTGGAGAATTCTTTTACTATAATGAATAATAATAGGTTTACAAGAATGACTCACTCTATGGTGGCTCACTCAAGCTTGAGGATAGGAACTTCTCAAGCTATCTCTCGTTTCTCTCAAAGAGGCTCTCAACTCTCTCACTCTAAGAAGTGGATTCTCTCTTTTTGCTAGGATGCTTACAAATGAGGAGCTCTCCTCCTTATATAGCCCCCCACCTCCTCAAATTGATGGGTAGGATTGATTTAATCCTACGATTGTGGATGAGCCTCCAGAACTCTCCATACAAATATCTTCCTACACCAAGAATA